AAAAAAAAACCAAAACAATCTTGTCTTTACGCGATCACAATATTAATTATTGAAGCGTCAAAAATGCGATTGTATCGAGACGAGCGGATTTTTCGTGAGATAATGTAATAAATCAAGAACAGTGCGTGAATGTCTCCCTAGTATCGTTATATCGAGCTCGATCATAAATTCCATTCACTCATGTTTTTATTGTCCTTCTATAGTTATATGAGTTTTTCATAAAGTGTATGTAATCAAGAAACATTTATTTTTGTTTATCACTTGTACTTTACGTCATTAATATGCCTACTCTTACATGAAAATGAATTTAAACTACACAATGGTTTTGTGAAAACGTCTAAAAATTTATGCTTAACAGCTAAAAGTATTATTTAATCAAGTACATTGATCATTGATTATTATTGTCTGTATAACAGTTATAACTGTAACAAATTGACGTGGTTTTCTAATTTTGCATCTCATTAAGAGGATTTCATTTTTAATTAAAATGTTTTTTTCTTGACGTAACAAGTTGTTTGTATATGTATTTGTGATCGGGTAGTATAATCTGTAGATCTCAAAAGCCCGAAAGATGCAAAGTTTCGTAACTTTGTATAACGCTAAGAAACAAAAACAAGTTAAGGTCTGCAGAAATAAACCGACGAAGAAAGCGTGTACCTGATTTGTGTTGATAAAAAAAAAAATAGGAGTCGATATAAGTATACAATATTGGTGCCTGTTGCCGCACAGATGAACAAAAAATCCAATTGTTTATCACGTCTGAAAAAAAATCATGCATTAATTAGTTTTCCACAACTCTAGACTTTCTTCCCTTCCGTTTCTTCTTAGCATTCTTTCTTGTAGCGCTCATTCGTACACTTGCGTAAGTTAATCAAAATGGAAATACGAATTATAAAGATTAATTTTATTTTTGGTAGATGTGTTACTCAGTTTAAAATACTTTATTTTTTCAATGAAAACGTTTTTAAATAAATACAAAATTCAAAATAAACTTAACAAGTGTTTATTGAAATAAAATTTTTTTTTTGATTGAGCAATTTATAATTTATGAGACAAATGCAGTTAGGTGAAGTTTATCACACACTAATATTTTGTAATGTACTACAGTAAAGCAATCAAGAATATCTATAAAAAATTTAGACAAGCCTCATTGTAAACAGTTGAACAGAAAAAATTCTTTGTTGTCAAATCATTTTTTCAAGCAAAATAAACTTCTGTTTTCTCAATGAAAACAATTAATTTTATAGTCTTTAAAGTAGCCATCATAAAGTATTTATTAACACTTCAACCATCACTTACGTGAGCGTGTTTATAGTTAATTTGTAATATAATGTACAGCAATTGAATTTTTTACGTGTACAGAAAAGTATGAAAAAAAAAAAATTTTATAAGAATTAAGCATAGTTAAAGCTGAAGCGGGATGCTCGGCAAATGCAGAAAAACTTATATACATTGAATGTTGATAACTCGATCACATAAGAGAGAAATTAATATCAATGCTATTGTATAAGCGAGAAAAGTGTTAAGTGTAAACTAAGAAAGCGAAATTCAGTGATGTTAACTTTACATAAGATAAAGAGTAGACCTATATGCTTCCTTGCAAATTAATTTATTTTGATGACAAATCAGGTCGCTTAAGATGTCATGGCGCGTAATAATATATTTACAGTAAAGGTGTAGAAAAACGTAATTAATAGATGTAAGATACTTTATGTTTCCTTAAAGATTCTCAAGACATTTATAACTGACCATCTTGCTGAGTTTTATAACGTAATCACGTCCACTGTACATAAAAATGGAGATTTATACTGTAAATTATTTTGTGCATAACAGACAAACATACAAGTTTTAAGTTTTTTTGGTACGTGATTAGTATATCTCATAAGCCTATTTATGCCTTTAAGGATTGCGTTTATAAAAATAAAGAAAAGATAAGAACTTGTTTGTATAGTAA